GAAAATTTCACTTTGGAATAATCACTTGCGACAGTTCAACTTCCTTTCTAAGCCACTCTTAGCGGTTTTCTTCAAACAGACACAAACATTCAAGATTTGCAAAATGAGAGGTCACACAAGTCAATGATTGGAGATAATCAGATCTGCAGAGCTCCCAAGACATCAGCACGTTTGTCATCGTTTCGCAGAAGCTTAAAGCACATAAGCAAAATCAATTCCACGTCCAGAATCCCAAATAAATAAATCAGTTACCTCCATGGATGAGAGAGGAGAAAGCAGTTTTCCCTGAAACCAGTCAAATTCACGTCGGCAGAACACAGTAGCCTACTGTTTCCAGCTCCTTCAGAATCGTTCAAGGCAAATGATAAATTGACACGGTAATGTAGTCTTAAATACAGCCAACATCAGCATCAGTCCTACTCTACCTACCACTGGTCCAGCCTACCACTTTGAACTCGCTATTGAGCGGGCAAAACAACACGCAAAGGCACTTGTTTGTTCTTGGAAGCTAACTGGCAAGTGGGTATTCGCCAGCAGGTAAGTCAGTACCAGGAACACCTGGTCCGCAATGTTCCAGCGAGCTTTCTCCAGAAATCAGTCAGAGTTACATATGCATAAGAACCAGAGTTCAGCTCTGCACTGTGCGAATTACAGTGTATGACACCTATTCTATTAGAAATAAATGAGCTTATTTACATTTTAATTCTGTGGAACAAGCTGCTCTCAAAAGAACAGTTTGCTAGAGTTACTGCAGATGTACAGAAGTTATAATTTTCCATCACAAATGCACATTGCAAGAAAAATCTCACAGGAAAAACCAAAGAACCAATAGACATTTTAGAGAAACTAGTCGGCTGCCTGTTTGGGAGGTCCCTCCAGATCTCCACAAACACAATCTCTTCCTTTCGCACAGTATGTGTTGCATAGCTAAGTACCACAGAAGTCTCATTAGTCAGAATGGGGATAAATACAGAAAATATTGTACTTTTCATTGACCCTTTGGAAGGATTAATACTATACAGATGGAAATCATGCCAAAATACTTTAAGTCATAAATAATCTAACTGAACAAGCTCAGATAAATGTATTATAATAACTACAGAATATACTGATTCTCCTCTGTCTTATTTACATCTTTCTTTCTATGAATCTTTTACTCTTTAAACAAGAGCCTATCATTCCTGACTAGATCAGAGCATACAAAGGCAGAATTCACTTTGTAGGTGCTGCAGTGCACCAAAATACAGTTTCAAATTTTTTCCTCTCTTGGCAGGGACTGCAATTAGGGCTGGGTCAAAGTCTGCTTAGGGGATGAGGACACTGATTTTCACGGGAAAGAGGAATGGCATGTATTTTTGATTCTGTGTGATCTTAATATTCATGAGAAATTCATGAGAAATTCAGTTTTTTTTTTGCAAATAACTGTAGCTGAATAAAACAATCCAACCCCCTCAAATATTGAAAGATCTTGAAATATAGCCTTTATAAGTTCTGCTTTCTACAGTGACAATCACATATTTATGAGGTACTAGTATTTGTAGCAAACAGAGTTCTCAGTTTAAGTTACTGCCCTTATGTAAGGAAGGAACATTAAGCCAGGTCTTTCATTTCTGAGGAGATAGACCTGACCATTAGGTTAAAAGCTATTCTGAAGTAGCTTTTTCTTCATGATTTCTGACTGAACTGTATCACTTTATACAGAACAATCACGGAAGCAAAAGCCAGAAACCTTCTGAGTCACCATCACTCTATTTCTGGCCCTATGAATATTAACATTATTCTTTTCAAGATGAAAGAGCTTCAGGGTAATAGACCACCCAGAAGAACTGACAGCCCAGTAGTTACAGTATTCCTAGAAAGGGGTAGGAGATGGTTTTGCACTTTCCAGACAAGGTTCCTGGGATCCCCAGCGCTGGGGTGGCATAAGCACTGTTTCCTTCTTTCCTCTCTCTCCCCTTCACTTCTGTGATCCCAGTCCTTTGCTTTCATTTAGAAAATCTCAGGATG